AGCAATGATTTGGAAAAGAGAGCTTTCCTCTATACCAGTGTTTCCCAACCTTTTTTTTGAGTCGCGACCCCATTTTATAATAACCAAGTAACCTGCAACTCCCATCGCATTTGTATTAAAAAAAACTTTTTTAATGAGGTAAAGAAAATGCATTAAAAACAGAGCTGATGTCAGTCCTTCAAAGGTGAATGTGGAGGAGCAGAGAGAAACAAGTGAGAGGAGTTCTTGCAAAGGGGGTAGGAGTGATATGCATGAATATAAAAATAAAAATAATTGCAACTAAAACTAACCACAGTTAGCCCCTCCTCCCCAAAAGGGGAGAAAGAAAAGGGGTCACAACCCCCCTGATAGGGGAACCCATGCTCTGTTCACAGAAAATCTCCACAGGATTAGGAACCCTTAAAAACGAATGAACAGGTTTCTGATCATCATAACGATAACCGTGTCAAGTAGATTCCGGCTTTTGGAATCTTTTCCTAGAATTTTCTAGATACAGAGTACTCGGATGTGGTTTATCGTTCCCTTCTTCTGAGAATGTTCTGGAATTGTGCAGCTCATCAACTGGTTTCCCAACCTTTTTTTTGAGTCGCGACCCCATTTTATAATAACCAAGTAACCTGCAACTCCCATCGCATTTGTATTAAAAAAAACTTTTTTAATGAGGTAAAGAAAATGCATTAAAAACAGAGCTGATGTCAGTCCTTCAAAGGTGAATGTGGAGGAGCAGAGAGAAACAAGTGAGAGGAGTTCTTGCAAAGGGGGTAGGAGTGATATGCATGAATATAAAAATAAAAATAATTGCAACTAAAACTAACCACAGTTAGCCCCTCCTCCCCAAAAGGGGAGAAAGAAAAGGGGTCACAACCCCCCTGATAGGGAAACCCATGCTCTATACACAGAAACTCTCCATAGGATTAGGAACCCTTAAAAACAAATGAACAGGTGAGTTCTTGCAAAGGGGGTAGGAGTGATATGCATGAATATAAAAATAAAAATAATTGCAACTAAAACTAACCACAGTTAGCCCCTCCTCCCCAAAAGGGGAGAAAGAAAAGGGGTCACAACCCCCCTGATAGGGAAACCCATGCTCTATACACAGAAACTCTCCATAGGATTAGGAACCCTTAAAAACAAATGAACAGGTTCCTGATCATCATAACGATAACCATGTCAAGTAGATTCTGGCTTTTGGAACCTTTCCCTAGAATTTTCTAGATATAGAGTACTCGGATGTGGTTTATCGTTCCCTTCTTCTGAGAATGTTCTGGAATTGTGCAGCTCATCAACTGCCCATATCCGGCTTCACAGCCAGGCACCCAACTCACTGAGCTGTCCAGCCAGCTGTTTTCAGATCTTGCAAGGGAGGTTACTTGCACAGAGCGCTATTGCTCTCCAGGTAAGGCACATCCCCTTTACCAGCATGCTTCCTTTCCTCACTTGTTCCAAATAATGCCTCAGTAGGGCTTGTGACAAAAGGGGAAGCGAGTCTATAAAACAATTGTGTCTGGAGGGGAATGAGGCCCTATGCATATTCCCTGAGGTGGTGCATCAGTGAGCATTTGTGGAAGCCTGTCCAGATTGTCCTAGTGTTAGTGAATAATACTGGCCATTTTTTGCTTCTTCCTGCTGTGCCAGCACAAGTTATGGCCCCTTATTTAGGCACAAGCTTCAGTGAAAACAAAGGAGACTTGGGTCTGAATAGACATGTGATGTGCTCCAGTGTTCAGCCCCTTCACGCTTGTTATTGCTTATCTTCGTATCAAGGCGGTTTGCAAGAGCGAAGCAATGCAGTAACAACAGCAATAAAACAGACAAGGTGGTGTCCAGAATTTGGTAATATGTGTTCAGTTTATTGTACATATTTTGTTCAGCCATAGTGGTATTTCATAGTCTTTCCTGTGAAATACTCAGGGATGCGTTTGTGACTCGTTGTCAGAACGTTTTGTTGGCATAAACATAGCTGCCCAGCTGGTTATTTATGAATGATGCATTCTTTGGCATTTCCCACCGTTGTCAGAACGTTTTGTTGGCACAAACATAGAGAGCTGCCCAGCCGGTTATCTATGAATGATGCATTCTTTGGCATTTCCCATTTTAAACTAGCTTACACTGTACAATTCTTAATTCACATCCATGCCTGGCTGGCCCTGACACTCCTTAGGGGGAGACACCTGGTCGGCTGTTCTGGAAAACAGCGGGCTGTGCTCTAACTTTGTCTTTGGTTTCTTTTCATTACACTGGAGAGCTGCCGTTCCCAACCTACTGCCCTGTCTTGCATCCACAGATGTTTCGAACTACGGCAGCCATTTAGTTCCTCAGCCAGCATGGCCAATGATGATGGGAGTTGTAGTCTAAAACCATAAAGGACCCTGTGTTAGTGAGGTGGTTTCACAGGGGACATGGTTGCTCAGGTAGCTTCGCAGGAGCCTTGAGTGGCGCTCAGAATAGGAAAAATGTGGCTCAGTGTTTATTGTACGGCTGTTATGATATTGTAGTCTTCTCCAACCTCAGAAGATTGTGCCAGAACTCTGCTGTTGAAGAATGCTTGGTCAATGGTGGAAGACTTAACCCAGCCCATGATCCATCCTCTCCATTATCACAGCTTTCCCTTCCTGTATTCAGGCCTTTGTCAGGTCAGACTTCCTGTACCTTCCATTAGATGACATCTTCCTTCGGTTTCACCCAGGGCTCTTGAAATCTCGCAGTGCTTTGTGAGAGAAATCTTGCAGTACAGTTCTGTATATGTCTGTTCAGAACTAACAACCTTTGAGTTCTGTGACACTTTTCCCTCAGGTAATCAGGTAGGAGTGTAGGCTTAGTTGACTAATTTGTGTTAGTTTTCCTTGATTAATCAATCAACTGCATCAACGTAAATTTGCCTTTGAGAAAAGAAATAGCGGTGCAAGTTGAAAAGCACAGTTTTCTTTTTAAATGATGTGTACATACGTCATGAAATACCACCCTAGAAATACCATACCTTTTTATTTTTTGCAGTTACGTCTTAAAGGTAGGCGGGGAGGGGGCAGATGCAGCTCACCTGGTAGTCGATTCCAAAAGATAGGTGCCACAGCTGAGAAGCCCCGGCTTCTCATTGATGTTTTCCTTCAGTGTGTCCACCCAGAGGAGCATTAGTTGGATCTGGTGGCGCAGGTAGATGCTCTTGAGGAAAGGTGGTCTGCCAAGTAACAGGATCCTAAATTGGAGGGCTTTGTAGGTGAACACCAAAACCTTGAAGTTGACTCAATGTAGGCAAACCAGAATTGGAATGATGTGATAAAATTTACTCACACCCGCTGCAGGCCTGGCAGCTGCATTCTGCTATGGACTCCAGGTCAACCTCAAGGGAAGCCCCATGTAGAGAATGTTACAGTAGTTGATCTTGGAGATCACTAGCATGTGCACCAACATCCTAAGGGATCCCTTGTCTAGGTAGGGGTAGTAGGCATCCTTCAGTCTCAAGAGACTATGGTAACACGCTTTGAATAGCAGTCTTGGAACAGTGTCTAGTGTGACTGAGAAGGCCGATTCGAGAGTGACAGTCCCACACTGAAGACAAATACAATCTGTCCCCTGTCCTGCTCCCTGATTTTGCTGCTTCTGGGACTGCCTCTGCCTGCTGGACAAGGGACTCTTCAAATTGGGAGAGTCCATGATGCACTGCCTGCCTCTAGGCCGAACGCTCAGATGTCAAGGTTTCCCATCTGTTGAGATCCATTCCTAAAACCTTCAGATCCCACTTGCAGATGTCCTTGTATCGCAGCTGTGGTCTCCCTCTGGGGTGATTTCCCTGCGCTAATTCTCCATATAGGAGATCTTTTGGAATCCGACCATCAGCCATTCTCACGACATGTCCAAGCCAATGTAGACGTCGCTGTTTCAGTAATGTATACATGCGAAAAATTCCAGCTCATTCTAGGATTACTTTGTTTCGAACTATTTGGTAGGGGTGGAACTCTATTAATAGGTTATAGTTTGAAAAAGATCCAAGTTTGTATGTTGTAGTGCATCAGCTGGACCTGGATCTGTCCATTAAGCCCACGTCCAAATTGCTTGTTTCTGTGGATTGGTATGCGCTTGTATCTCTGTAGTGGAAAGACAGCGAAGTGCAGTCCTGGGGCACCTGCCAGTGAAGTGGCTGGCCCTCTGGATGTTGAGGGAGGTAAAGGGGGACCTGGAGATTGCAAAGAAATTAAATGAGTTCTTTGCATCTGCCTTCTCGACAGAAGACCTTGGGCAGAGTCTGTTGCCCGAATGGCCCCTCCTGACTAATGAATTAAATCAGATACAAGTTAAAAGAAAGGATATTTTAGACCTAATTGATAAATTGAAGATCAATAAGTCATCAGGCCCAGATGCAATCCACCCAAGGGTTATTAAGGAGCTGAGAAATGAATTTGTGGGTCTCTTAACTAAAGTATACAGCTTGTCCCTTAAAATGGCCACAGTGCCAGAGGACTGGAGGATAGCACACACCAATCTTTAAAAGGGGAAGGAGAGGGGACCCGGGAAACTACAGGCCGGTTAGTCTTAACGTCTGTTCCAGGGAAGATGGAGGAAAACATAATCCAAGTTAAATTTTAAAACACATAGAAGAACAAGCCTTGCTGAGGGAAAAATCAGCATGGCTTCTGTAAGGGTAAGTCTTGCCTCACAAACTTTTTAGAATTATTTGAAAAGGTCAACAGGCACGTGGATGCAGGCAAACCAGTGGATATTGTCTATCAGGATTTCCAGAAGGCGTTTGATGTGGTCCCTCACCAAAGCATACCTTGTTTTGAACAGGCCTTTGCTAACCCTGAAGATGTGGCTTCGTTTGGGAAAGATGAAGCTGTAAAGAAATACCTCAGGACTGATCCAGATGTGGAGCGGGTGCGCAGGTAATCCAGAGGGTTCTTATGAAAATTATATTAGCTTCAGGGAAAATCCCACCATAACTCAAAATGACGAAGACAGCAGAGGTGGAAGAAGAACCTATACATATATTGGAACCCAAGATTCCCACTTTATTTGTTTGTTTGTTTATTTATTTATTAAGCTCACGCTCAGGGGGAAAATATATTCATGGTAGAAATGGTGGCTGGTTTTTTCACGATTCCCTGTGCTCTGAGTCACGTTTATGTGCTAATGTAACGTTTTGTTCTGATGTGTTGAAGTAATGTTTTACACACACACATGTATTTTGGGAAGTTACCGTGCTGTCTTGTTTGTACAAGAAAGCTTAGACTGGCATGAGTTACATTGGCATCATTTTCAGAGGGTTGTGAAGAAATCTCTGCATTGCTGGGATAATAGTCAAAATTGACCATCTTGGCATAGCGAGACAGCACCTCAAAGATTCTTCAATGTCCTCGGGAAAAGAAGGCTTGACTCCAGCCAGATTTTAGCTGGAGCTTATAACCTTAGAACTGCAGAGCTGGAAGAGGGACCCTACTGATCATCAAATCCAGCCCATATCAAGGAGGCCCAGTGGGGGAATTGAACCTCTGGCATTGCAGCCAGAGAGCTAAACCACGGAGATATGCCTAATGTCTTTTTCTTTGCTAGATTTTCTTCACACAAAAATATTTTCATAAATTCTTGTCTCTGTGCAAAACTAGTGTCTTCCGCTCTTCATTAATCATCATCATCCTAGAACTGCAGAGCTGGAAGGGACCCTATGGATCAGTGAGCTCAGCCCTTATTAAGGAGGCACAGTGGAGGATTAAACTCTGATCCTCTGCTATTTAATGTACTGAGCTATCCAGCAGTTAAATTATTTAGCAGTTAAGCTAAATGTCTGCACATGTTGCAGCTACAGAAGAACAGGCTGATTGATCAGAAAGAACCAAACAACCCATCCAGTGCTATTATTTTTATTGCAAGGCAGCAGTATTGTCTGGGCATTTTTTTAATGAAGTGATGATACTGCCAGATTATTTTATAGCTGCTGCCACATGCTCACAAAAATAAGCTACCTCTTCTGAGACCAGCTGCAATGACATGAGTGATACAGGGAGTTGTAGTCTAAAGTATCTTTTTCCAAGCTCTGATGAAGACAAACCAAATCAGCACTGAAATTCCTAGCTTCCTGGACTGATTGCCTGGACAAGCTGCCTCTTTCCTTCTTGTAGGAAGAAAATTGGAGAAAAAGAGATCCATTTTGTTTTTGCTCATGTAGTTTTTATTTTTTAAATAAAACTGCATACATGAGTTTCCAAGTAGGGCCTAATGGTGCTTCTGAATTTGATAGCTTCATAATAAATTATCTAGAAAATATAAACCACCAGGGGGTTTCTCTGCTTTTGAAGATTAATTAGTTCCGAAAGCAGCTGTTGTTATTATTAGTTGTAAAATTTCTGGGTCGCTTTCACTCAGACTTGGAAGTAATTTTTGGCTGATAGAGATGACTCCAAGCAGCAAAGGTCTTGCCATCATTGCTCAGAGATTTTGCAGTTGAAATTGGGATAGTTGAATATCCAGAGTTAGCTTGTCCTCTGCTGTCTTCAAAATGAAAACTGACCCACACTCGGAGAGCAATTTTCGTTGTTCTGAATGCAAGAGATTTCCATAATGAATTTTTTTTTCTGCCACATGGTGAACAAACTTTGCTGCCAGTGGAAATGTAACATGTCAGGGCATCACCTTGCTCCTTGACCACAGGTGGAACCTAATTGACAGTGGATTTTTTAAAACTAAAAACAAAGTGGGAGGGAAGTATTTAAATTAGAGTCTGTTTTTTTTTTTCATTTGCAGTGTAAAGACTGCTGCATCGTGTCTTGGCTGAGCAACATTCTGGTACTTTAAAAAGTAACTTTTGCAAGCAGGGCCAAACCAGCAGTAGAAGCTAAAATATGCTGATGTTCCAGCAATGTGATTCAAGATTTAACAGTTGTAGGGTGTTATGGTTGTTGTGGGTTTTGTGTTATGGTTGTTGTGGGTTTTTCGGGCTCTTGTAGGGTGTGATCATAAAACCATATATATATTTTGGACAGCTTGTGATACTACCTGGTGCAGCCCTGATTTGTGTCCAAGCTGTGCCTTTTTGGTCCAACAGCAGGGCTACTGCTTTTTGGGCCTGGGCTGGAGCGATTCCCTGATGGATGGAAGGGTGGCTTTAAAGAGGATCGCTCCCATCAAAGTGACTTTTTCCAGTGTGATCAGACACACACCTTTCTTACTGTTTGATTACACCCATGAAGCCTGTGTTTCCCAAGGTCCAGCTGCAAGGCAAAACAAGACCATGGAAGTTGTAAAAAAAAGTCTGCTCTGACAATCCAAATGTTTCAAGAAATCCTTTCTTCAAAGGACAGGCCATCTTTAGCTTGTTAGCCAGACTCCTGTTGGTTGTTTATGCTCATAAATTGCCCATGTTTGTCTTCTTTGCTCTGTGCCAAGCCTTGTGATTAGCATTGGAGTACAAGCAGTGACTCGTTCATTATTGGCAATCTGCAGTTATTTATGCCAGTGCATGTATTCTGGTGTAAATAACCAACCGGATTCTGGCCAGAATTAGCCCCTAAATGATTTCAATATGAGGAAACTGCATTATTCTGTATTAGCAGTTTGTGGACGGGGTAGTTACGTAAGTGATCCACGTTTGGGAGGCTGCCTTATTTGGCCATGGCTAGTTCACACGGTGAATTTGTCTTTGCTTCTTTCCTCAGAATCCATCTCAATGACCTTGAGAACATCATTCCGTTTCTCTTCATCGGCTTCTTCTACTCCTTCACTGGTGTTGACCTCTCGACTGCCTTGCTGCATTACAGGATTTTCCTTGGTTCTAGGATCTTCCACACCATTGCCTACCTGGTTCCTCTTCCCCAGCCCTGCAGGGGTTTGGCATGGGGAGCTGGCTACTTGGTTACTTTTTCAATGGTGTACAGGCTTGTGATGGTTGGTCTCAGTCTGTCATAAAAGAAGGAAAAAGAGAAATAATAATCGCTCATAACCAGCACTGATGTCAAGTGTCCAAGCTTCTTGCCTCTGCAGAACCTTCCCCCTACTGATTATTTTACTGTGGCACCCTTGCAAATCAGAGATCAGAAAAGTTACTTTGGGGCTACAAATCCTTATAAGCCCCACAAATTGCATACATGGAGGATTCTTGTAGTCCAGAAAAAAGTAATTTTTCCTAGGTCCTTTGCACATCTGCTGTACATTCCCAAATGCATGGTAGAGCATTCTGGAGCATGTTCTTGAGAGTGTGCACATGATGGCAAGAAGCATTTTGGACCCCACTATTGCCTGCTGAAACAAAGAATGTGACCTAGGTTACTCCCAGTGCTTTTCTGTAGCTACATGTTTACAGGGAAGGATGATGAATGGCAGTGGAACTATCTCCCAGGGGAATGCGCCCACCAGTGTATTGCTATTCTCATCAAAGGACTGTAGCTCAGTAGTAGAGCTCATGCCTTACATGTAAAAGATCCAAGGTTCAGTTCTTCACATACTCCATGAAAGAAAGAAAAGAGAATTGGGCAGCCAGTAAAGGAAACACCTTATATCCACGACTGTAAATGAGAAATTTGTAGTTAGAGTTTATGAAAATGAACTGGAAGAGCCAATAGCTGGTCCAGGGCCAGACATTTTGTACATCAAAGAGCACCAGATAATAAGAGGAAGCCCGGGTTTCTCCAGAACCAGGAGTTGGGGGAATGATTTTTCCCAGCCTCGCATGGAGATGCCGTGGATTGAACCTGGACCTTTGGCTTGCTAAAGATGTACTCTACCACTGAGCTACAGCCACCCTTCCTGAAATGGCCTTCCTCTACAGAATCCAACACTTAATCGTTGCCTGTCCATGCTCTGTATAATTGCTACTTTAGCTCATTGTTCCTATGTATGTATGATTTCCAGTTTTAAACGTTAACCAGGATAGCAAGATGACACCTATGTTCACCAAGTCATGGCAATATACTTTGGACAGCAAGATGTTAGGAACACAATAAGATGGAGTGGGGAACTTGTCTCTCTCCCCCCCAACACACACACACAACTTTGTAGACATGTGCTCCCATAAGCCCTAGCCAACATAGCTAGTTGCTTTGGGCCTTTTGGGAACATGGTGGATGGCTTCCAGAACAAAACCCAAGACTCGATGGATTTTTTTGTTTCACCTGTTGTGGCATTTCTGAGCTTTGTTCACATCACTGAATTTTACCAGCAGTTGCCAGGTTCTCTCTGTAGAGTAGGAGAAGAAAATGGCCCTGACCAGAAGCTGGAATAATAAACATTGAATGAGGAAGTTGTCCTACTGAAATCCCAGAGGTAGCCCCCAAGCAAGTAACAGTATGTTGGTTTCTTGGTACCAGTGATTTTCTGTTGCAGAGTCAGAGTAACTGTGGTATCTTGAGCAAATGAGAAACAAGAACACACTTGTATGAAAGAAACTGATAGAATAGATAGGTCCTGGGATAGTTGGACTGCAGATTGAGAAGTGGGGTAAATACTGAGTATGTATACACAGTATGCTCTTGATTCCACACCTGTCAACACAACTCTTAAAGTTCTGGAGAGGGGGGAGTGGGTTTTTGGACTGGAACCTCCGGAATTGCCCAGTTATTGTATCTGTGTTGGCTGGGGAATTTGAGGTGTGATTATAAATGGAAATGTTCCAAAGTTCTGTCTCCAGGAAAGGTCAAAACCTCTCCATATTGAGCATTTTGTGTCCAAGGCTGTTGAGCAGGTGGTATAAAACCCAGTGAATAGCAAGATGCTGGGATATATCAGCTTTCGCTTCCTGCAGATCTTGATGCGATCCTATAAAACCAACTATAAATTGGTGAAGAGAAACCCGCCCATCCCCAGTTGGCTGCTTTTGAGGCGTTTGCTACCTTCGGCATTCCTTGAATCCCATTCAACATTCCAAATGTTTTAAGATTAATTCAGTTTGGTTCTTGTTTCACTTGGTGGTACCTAGTTCTTGGTGTTTGAAATAGTTTTTTTTTAAATTCTGTGACATATCGCCTCACCTCAAGATGACTGGAAAAACTTGTAGAAGCTTTTAAGACTTCTGAAGTACAACAACTCTATTGATGGTGTGTAGGCATGGTAATTTTCTACAGATGCTATTTTGGGATGTATCTTTTTGAAGCATAAATAATAAAGACAACAACCAAAAGAGGGGGGGAAAGTGTTTGAATTTTTGGGGGCTATTTCCCCCCTCGACTTTTCTAACTGCAGTAAGCAAATAGGATGTCACAAAGAATCAGAGATTTGAATCATGGAGCTCTTTGAAGAATATTTACCTTAATAATAAGATAGCTCAAGCAATGCCAAGCCTTGTTGAAAAGGAGACTTTGATGCAAATAGGTGTTTGTAAGCAAGTGCTAAAATAAATACAGGGAGCAATTGTGGGGTTTTTTTTTAGCCTACTATATTCCTTTGGGGGGGGGGAGAGAATGTTTTAATGTATTTTACATCATTGTGAAGCCTTTACAGTAATTTTCTTTTCCATAAACTAGAACTGGCATTATTATCAGAGGCTTCATTATTCAAGTCTCATTGGTGTCTTGCTTTGAAATGTGTCCAGCCTTTTCTGGGGTGATTACATTTCACCTGTATGCCACAATCTCACTCCCAAATTGCTCAGAATAGCATGTATCTGATTCTTGGGCATTTACCAAGCAAGAACCTTACAAGGATGTGCTTGACCTGCAATAATGAGAATATGAACCTCATTCAGTATTTCAGAGCAGAAGCTTGAAGTTACTTTATTATCACGGCCATCTGAGTGGGACAGTGCAGTGTTTCTGGCCTGACAAAGCAAAACAACCTCAGGGTTGAAGTAGTTTAGCAGGTTTCTTTGACAATTTGGATAAAAGAGATAAAATAATAGTGGGCAAAATAAAGCTGGTAACAGCAGTGAAACGCTGCAAGTTTTTGGCGTGGCTTGAACATGGCAAACCTCGCTAAAGGAGCAGCTGTTGGCTAGCACCTGTGATGTCACTGTGAGGGTTTGTTTTCAGGCTCCAAATTCAATTGGAGGCAAAAAAATCAGCAGATCCATCTTTCGAAACAGGTGGGAAATTTATTGGAGGATTAAACAATAAAGTATCTGGAACATGATTATAAGTCCTTTCTCCCGCCAGAAGGGGCATCCATTCGTCGAACAAGAACGGGTTCCTCTAACTACTGTCCCACAGTCCCTGGAGATCGTTTGAGACGCAGTCCTTTACTGTCTGTCCTGTGGCACCTTCCAGCAAGGTCTCGTCCAGATTGTCACCCCACAAGATCTGTCCATCAGGGTCTCGATTCTCCTAGGGGCTTCCCTGTAGTTCCTTCTCTTCATCTCTCTCTTCATTCCAGCCTTTCTCTCTCTACTCGTTCCTTTTCCTCTTTTGGTCTCCTCCACTCTCTCACCTCTGTTTCCCCCCAATAAAAGGGTTTAGGAAGAATCTCTTCTATAATATGCTTCCTCCTTTGGCACTTTCAGTCTCGCCCATAATCCAGTCCACGGATCCTGCATCCACACCCATTCCCAACCAAGCAGTAACTGCTCTCCCCTTTCTACTTCTCCTGCTTCAAACTACACCCTCTTTTTCTTTCCCTTCCCGCCTTTTCTTCCTGAACTTCCCCTTTCATCACTTTCTGTATATCTTATGTCAGCTCCTCTATCACTGTCTACTGCGGAGGCTCCACCGAAGGTTTGGGTACGGGTTTGGGGTCCGCCTCCCCATCTCTGCTGTTGAGGAGGGATGGCTGTCCAGCGAGTGAGGTGTCCCTCTCACCCTCTGTCTCACAGTCACCCACAATCTCCCCGTTACAATTCATGGGGCCTAAAGTTTTACATTTTTCAGTAGCTCTTGGGATGATAGTATTGATATTCTTATTTGTTTTATTTATAGTCCACCTTTCTCCCAATAAGGGGATGTAAGGCAACTCACAGTATTAAAAAGAACAGAATTAAAAACAAAGTACAGTGGTGCCTCGCTTAACGACAATAATCCATTCCAGGAAAATCGCCATTAAGCGAAAACATTGTAAAGCAAAAATAAAAACCCAATTGAAATGCATTGAAACCCGTTCAATGTGTTCCAATGGGGTGGGGTAAGCTTGCTAAGACACTGTCTTGACAAGCATGGCAAGGTCATTCCTCCAGAGTCACCACCTAAGAGGAAGGACATGGAAGAAGCAGAGGTAGCGGAGGTTATAAGTCCTTTCTCCTGCCAGCTGGTCCAGAAGGGGCATCCATTCGTCGAACAAGAACGGGTTCCTCCAACTACTGTCCCACGGTCCCTGGAGATAGTTTGAGACGCAGTCCTTTGCTGTTGCCTTGTGGCACCTTCCAGCAAGGTCTCGTCCAGATTGTCACCCCACAAGATCTGTCCATCAGGGTCTCGATTCTCCTAGGGGCTTCCCTGTAGTTCCTTCTCTTCATCTCTCTCTTCATTCCAGCCTTTCTCTCTCTACTCGTTCCTTTTCCTCTTTTGGTCTCCTCCACTCTCTCACCTCTGTTTCCCCCCAATAAAAGGGTTTAGGAAGAATCTCTTCTATAATATGCTTCCTCCTTTGGCACTTTCAGTCTCGCCCATAATCCAGTCCACGGATCCTGCATCCACACCCATTCCCAACCAGGCGGTAACTGCCCCTCTCTCCTTTCTACTTCCCCTGCTCCTGCTTCAAACTCCACCCTCTTTTTCCTTTCCCTTCCCACCTTTTCTTCCTGAACTTCCCCTGTCGTCCCTTTCTGTATATCTTCCATCAGTTCCTCTATCACTGTCTCCTGTGGAGGCTCCACCAAAGGTTCCGGTACGGGTCTGAGGTCCGCCTCCCCATCCAGTGAGTGGGGCATCCCTCTTGCCCCACTCTGTCTCACACGTGCATATAAAGCATAAGTCAGGGGGAGAATGGTTGTTGTGGGTTTTTCGGGCTCTTTGGCCGTGTTCTGAAGGTTGTTCTTCCTAAAGTTTTGCCAGTCTCTGTGGCCGGCATCATCAGACGACAGCACTCAGGGGGAGAAGCTTATAGCCCTCCAGATGCTGTTGGGCTGTTGCTCTTATTAGTCCTACATATCACAGCCAGTGGGAAGGGGTAATGGGAGCTGTAGTCCAACAACAGCTGGAGGGCCACTACTTTCCCTACCCTTGGCATATCTGCACAGAAGCTATGCCCATGAGTGAACTCATAGCTCCATGAACCTACAAACATATCCCTGTTGCTTTGTGAGAGTCACTGGACCCACCTCTGATGGTGCCAGCGGTTGGCAAGTCTCCCAGCAATATTCCATGGGCTTAAAGTTCTGAGAATGACCAAGAACAGACTTTATTGCAACTGAAGAACCAATTGAAACAGAAACACTGCCTTTAATTCCCTCTGGGAATGTCCTGGAGGGTTGAGTTCATTGCACTAACCCTCAGGGAATGTCCTTTCAAAAGAATCTCCTGTTAAGGCTAGCAGTCCTTTACTGTCTGTCCTGTGGCACCTTCCAGCAAGGTCTCGTCCAGATTGTCACCCCACAAGATCTGTCCATCAGGGTCTCGATTCTCCTAGGGGCTTCCCTGTAGTTCCTTCTCTTCATCTCTCTCTTCATTCCAGCCTTTCTCTCTCTACTCGTTCCTTTTCCTCTTTTGGTCTCCTCCACTCTCTCACCTCTGTTTCCCCCCAATAAAAGGGTTTAGCATTCCAGCCTTTGTCTCTCTACTCTTTCCTTTTCCTCTTTTGGTCTCCTTCTCCACTCTCTCGCCTCTGTTTCCCCCCAATAAAAGGGTTTAGGAAGAATCTCTTCTATAATCTGCTTCCTCCTTTGGCACTCTCAGTCTTGCCCATAATCCAGTCCACGGATCCTGCATCCACACCCATTCCCAACCAGGCAGTAACTGCTCTCCCCTTTCTACTTCTGCTTCAAACTACACCCTCTTTTTCTTTCCCTTCCCGCCTTTTCTTCCTGAACTTTCCCTGTCATCACTTTCTGTATATCTTCTGTCAGCTCCTCTATCGCTGTCTACTGTGGAGGCTCCACCGAAGGTTTGGGGTCTGCCTCCCCATCTCTGCTGTTGAGGAGGGACTGCTCTCCAGCAAGTGGGGTATCCCTCTCACCCTCTGTCTCACAGTCACCCACAATCTCCCTGTTACAATTCATGGGGCCTAAAGTTTTACATTTTTCAGTAGCTCTTGGGATGATAGTATTGATATTTTTATTTGTTTTATTTATAGTCCACCTTTCTCCCAATAAGGGGACGCAAGGTTATACACATGCATAGGTGATGCTTACAAATCTGTAAAATACGGACTACTCCAGCGCACACGAGAACTGAAAAGAATCGGCCTTCAGTTACCGTATTTTTTGCACCATAAGACGCAGTTTTTCCCCCTCCAAAAGGGGGGTGGTAAGTCTGTGCGTCTTAAGCCTTCAGTTACCGTATATATAGTATGTAACGACACTCAAAATCCTTTGCATTTGATTCCAACCTCAGGAAGACAAGATTAAGTAAATGGAACACCATCCCATGTTGTGAGTCTCGTTAATGGTCTGAGTAAGCAAGATCACCTTCAAAGAAGTTGTTAAAGGCAAGCAGAACTCTCCAGTTGATAAGAAGTACGATAAGTGCCTTGCCACAGATCACCTAGAACTTGCCATCTCGTCCCCCTCAGTAGCAACATCTGGAGAGCCACAGATGTTTCTTTCTTGCTCTGTTTTGTCTGTTTGGTTATATTTTTTTTCCTGAACCAAGTCTAAGTTCCAGAGATGTATTAAGATGCGACCCGCCATTATCCCTGTTTGGCTAACATCAAGATTAATGCAATTAATTTCTTTTTAAAAATAACATTCTGAGTTGTCAGGCAGCTGTTCTCTCTTTGAGCCCAGTTGCTACCTTACAGGGTTGTTGTGAGGAAAAAAAATAGGGAGGCAGTGCTGGCTTCCTTGGAAAAATGGCAGAGTTCTGATATTTAAATGGAATTAAAAGGAAGGACTAGTTATTTTAAGGGCTTTAGAGTGACCTTTATTTTCCAACTGCTGCCTTTTTCCCATCAAGCAATTTTTGAAGGGAAAGAAGAAATGTTTTCGGATTTCGACTGCTTGGGAGCTACAAACACTTCACAAAGTTTTATTCATCTGCTTGCAGCGAATGCGACATCCAACCTTACAACAAACATTTTATTATTGTTTTTAAAATCACCATATTTCTGCTGGGATCTGGGAGACACTTGTCGATTTCAAAAGGAATCCATTCCCTTTGGCTGATTTCTGTGGCACTTTTCAGAACAGAATATTGTCTCAATCCAGCTTGAAACATGCAAGAATGAACATCTAAAACATTTAACTAGAATTCATGACATAAAACTCTCCCAATCTGAGTACACTGGTTGGATAGCTCAGTGGTTTAGATATCCACCTGGGGAGGCAGATCCTGGGGGTTCAATTCCCCGCCGCGCCTCTCCCAATCTGACTACACTGGTTGGATAGCTTAGTGATTTAGGTATCCACCTGGGGAGGCAGAGCCTGGGGGTTCAATTCCCCGCCGTGCCTCCTGTGAGTAGAGC